TTTGCTACTAGGATAATCCGGCACTGCCTGCGACTTGATTTCACGTGGCCTTGCCTTGCAGCCAAGCCGCGTGACCCGAAAAAACGATGTCTGCCCGTCATCGCTGCCCTCATTGGCCACTCGTCAGGGTGGCACTGAACTGAACTATTTTTTTTATGATGCCAGGTAGGGCCCACTCAGCTATATAGATATATTTCATGAGCGACCTGGCTATCACAAACGACAGCTCAACGAAGTGGCTTGCCGTGTGGTAATTTGTCGCAGCCAAATGCTCTAAACGCGTGGCGTTGATGCTAAATGTGGAGGGGGAAAACAGGACGACCCGGAAAAAAAATCCACACGACCATGGGGAGAGAGAACATGCGAACTGCAAATATACAGCAGTCGTCGGGATCGGGATCGAACCCACAACCCCCTGTATACCGGGCGCGGTAGTTAACATCTCGCCACGGTGCGGAACACTTTCGTGCCTCTAATGTGCAGGGGCTCAGACAGTGACCGAGGTGCGTGTGTACGTTCGTGTGTTGTTGATGTGTCCCGTTGTTGCCGGAGGCATTGGAATGTCCTATTTGGCTCTCGGTCAGGAAACGGTTCCCACCCCGCTTCACTGCGCACAGCCACGTTAATAGACATCCCTTCACTCTGCGCAAGCACCGTCCGTAGACAATTCTTCGTAATGTTTATTTTTAATGGTGTAACTGCTGACTGGGCAACTGTGAAAGAGAGCTTCATAGCTCATCGGATTCCTCCTCCAGTCGAAAATAAAGATTTAGATTCTTCACTGCACAGATACTCTTCTTAGAAGCACCTCTTTGCTGCGCTCAGAGACCCTTTACAGACACTCCTTGACCCCCTTACCCCCTACAGCCACCTCCCTTCCTACTCATACCCTCCCTGCTGTGTCCTTTTCCCCTCAAATCTGCTTTCCTTACACCCAACCCTCTCTGGCCCATCTCCCTTCTGCCCTCTCTTCCTGCCCCCCTCTCTCCCCGCCCCCCAACTCCTGACCCCTGTTCTCTCTCCCCCTCTGTTTGTCCCCCTCTTTCTGCCCCCCACCAACGCCTTACCCTCTGTTCTGTCTCTGCCCCCCCCTCTCTCTCTCACTACCACCGCCCTCTCTGTCTCAGACATCCCAGCACGCACACGTAAAGATCACCCGTGTAGCCTTAACAGACTGTTGGGGCAAGTGCTGTTAGTGAGCAGCTTTGAAGGCCATAATGGTACACGAGGGGGTGGGTGGCCAGCACCACGCCCAACCGCCTTTGTCTCCCCAGTGGCGATGTTTACACACCGCACCAGGTACTCATTGGAGGCGACCTAGGGGAGGCCCAGGACCGGTTCAGATAAACGTCACCGGTGTTGGCCGTGAGCGGAAATCGAACCCGGGTTTCCGGGTTCATAGCGCAGCGCGCTGACCGCTACACCACCGCTCCCCACCCAGCACACTCACACACGTACACATTCCATGTGGTCCCATCCGCTGCCCACATACTTATACTTTGCAGGAGTTTGCAGCAGTTCCCCACACTGGTGACCACAGTAAACCCCGGGCCCGACATTATCTGACCCCCGAGCCTGGCCCATTCTCCTCGTGCAAGCCACGCCCTCCTCCGCGTTGCCCAACTGCACCACTGCGCACCCCTTGCAACGTAGTAATGCGACAGCGCACTTAGATGAGCGTCCGTTTGTACGTTTGCGATCGTACGTTGCGTACATATCGTCCGGGGGGGAGGGGACTGGGTGAGGGGGGCCTTAATTTCTCGCCGAATATTTGCCGGGTGGCTTGCAGATTCCAGTAGGCAATGCGGACTGCAATGGTCACTGTCACGGAGAGGGGTGTTAGTGGGTGTGGTCCGCCGACTTGGAGCCATTGCAAGAGCCCGTTGCCGGATGTCGTGTGCTGGGCGATGCAAGTATTTCATGCAGAGCTGAGCTTGACAAACCTGGCTGAAGACTCTAGCCTCGGCACAGAGCGTTATAATACCGTATCGCCTTCAAAGCCACAGTCCATGCGCTGCACGTCAGAATATAGATTTTTTGCTGGAGGAATCCGATGAGCTATGAAGATCTTTTTTTCACAGATGTCCAGTATCACAAATGTCCAGTAATGTGAAACTCATGAATATACTATGCGGGATAACGGATTTGCCTGAAGATTCAGGATATTTTAGATTGTATTGCCAGTTCAGAATTGAAAAAAAAACCTCGGAATAGGACTTTTTTTTCTGTATCGCTCGCAATCAAGGGAATGAAGTTGCGTTCCGTTGCTACAGTTCTAAATTGTGTTGTAAAACAATCGCAGAGCCCCACCTTTCCCCCCTGTCGGTTTACATCGTACCAAACAGCGTCAGCGGTTACAAATCCCCTGTGCTCCGTGACCGAGCGGAGCCCGTCGTCGGTGTGAGCGAGGTGCCTAGCCCTGAACGGCGAGGTTGTGAACAACACGGGACGATTAACCACAGCTGTCCACGCGGCTTAATGCCAGCGGGAGGTTGCCCAGCCCGAGGCTTTACGCGGGGAGGCGACGCCGACGGACCTTCGACCGATGACTGTTTTGAGCGCCGTCACAATCCATTATTGTCCCCCACGAGTGGCGGCGAAGGGTCGGTCGGCACGCGAACGTAACTCAAGGACTCGACGCATTCGTCAAGAACGCCTTCTTCACAGGACACAGAGAGGCCAGAGAGGTAGCGTGAAACAATAACTGGACTGGAGATCCAGTGCTACATGTAGACTTTGTATATATACTTTTTTTGTTTTGTTTTTTTGCCTGGATACGTACTGGTGATGGAGCCCTCTCGTTTACAAGGGTGTCCCGGGGTGTCAAGGGACACGTGCTTAGGGAAACACGTAACCACACGCGTACAAACATTTGAAAATCCCACGACGTGTGCGGTACATCATGTGCTTGCGCAATATCAAAATGTGTTTACGCGGTCAGGGGAGCGCACGTGAGCGCAGTTGTACCGACCACAATTATGCTTGGTTCGTCGAAAATAATCGTGATGGAAACAATGGATACTTGAGGTATGTGTTGTGTATGGCACCAATTTCTTTGTATGGCCAGTAAATAATTAGTTTTTCCAGGATAAATGTGATGAAACAAAGTCCTTTTCAGTGGTTAAGAAAATAAGAATAATTTACATAAATATGTCATCCACTGCTGGATGGAGGCCGCCCCACAAGTAATAATCGATCATGGGGGTTGTTCGACCATCCTTCACGCTGGCCAGTGCGAGTTAGTGATGGGGACCCCGAGAACCAGTTTTAGATATCACTCACCAATGATGTTGGCCGTGGCAAGGAATCAATTAATATTGTACAATATACAATATTAATTAACATAAAGAGCTTCACCTGAGTTCATCAGGTAGGCAAGCTGGAGTAAGTGATTAGCAATGTCCAACAATATCTACCGATGGTTGGTGTGCAGTTTGAACGGAAATAGTTTTGTAATTCACGGGTGACTGGGAGATATGGATCTAGGCATTTGCAAATGAACCTTATGGCGGTAATTTTTAGTCTGTTGATGGTCGGCGATGCGGCAATCGACTCATCTCGACGAGCTGTACACGATGCACTATTAAAAGTTATATTTTTCGGTAACGGATTTTTTAATGCTAATGTTTGGCGTTTCGACATCGCGGAGTGTGGCACTGATTTCGGATTGATTGGTACCCCAGTCGCGGAGCCAAGTACACCCCTGGGAAAAAAAGTGTCCCAGAAATAAAATATTTAATTGCCTCGGCCATTTATTATTATTTGGTACCCCGGGATACCGCCATGAGGATCAAATGTCCAGCGTCAGAGACTCCCATGCCTGTAGGAGTGAATGCTCGAGCACTGACACCCCAGACAGAATGGAGCTGTGTCAGGAGCTGTAACCGTAATATGTGAGACACCCAAAGGGAATCTCAGTCGGCAAGGGGCACGACCAAGAGACACCGCTCTTCAAATTCCAGAAGTAGGTCACATCTCCATCACAGCACCATCGCCGTGGATGAAGAGTCTCGCCATCCGGATTCACAGAAGTGCCCGGGGCCGTTCAGGGTTCCGAGCGCTGAGCCATCACTGCTGACCGAGTTCCTGTTTTCGAAGGCGGACTTCAACCTTGATTAATTCCGCTTTCACAACTGTAGCGAGTTGGTGGTCTCAGTCCCGGGTTGTTAACGACTTCACGGAAAGAAAAAAAAACATCGTTGCTGTGGATGTTTTTTTTTCTCTCTTATGGAACCGGGCACTTACCATGGAGCCAAAAACTTTCCCATTTAAATGTTGTCGAATGTGCAACGTATTATCTATTTATTTAGTTCAAATCCATCAAGAAGACTTGCATATAGTTCCTTTACACCCGGGAAATGGAGGCTGGCTCTTTGTCGACATGGTACGCACCCCTCTACCGCTCCCGTTCCATTGCAACGTGCGCCGCTGATGCCTGCCTCATCGAGGGCAATATTGGCACGTAAAATAAAGATCGATCGATTGATTGATAACAAAGGTGGATGAAAAGTGAACGCGGCCTCCAAACGCAGCGGCGCGTTCGCCGCTTTGTTGCGGAGGTTCACGATTCGAATCGAGCGGCAGCCACCCCGGAGGTAACTGAAATAATCCCGCACGCCGTCTGCCCCGACCAGCGGGACGTTCGCCGGACGTCGTTCGCAAGACGGGGCCCGTCATGGCGTGCCGGCATCAGGTTTCCAAATTTGCCGAATCCGGGATGAAATTACGCCGTCAAATGTACCCAGTCGGGGTGGCACGCACACAGAAGCACTCATCAACCGCCCTCTCCCCCCCCCCCCCCGACAGGCAGACCGATGCTCCAGGTCGCTGTTGCAAATGAGCTTATCCTGGTCTCTTGAGTTCTCACCTGGTTCCACAAAAAACACCTGATACTTTTCTCCGTGTGCGACCAGCGTGACTGCGTTTTTAGAGACTGCTGCTGCTGCCGCCGCCGCACCTGACCCTCTCCCACTGCCTTCTCCCTTTGCCGACTTCCCCAGAACATCAACGTGTCCTTCCAAGGCTGCGGTATGGACTCGTTGGCCGTCAAGGTCCTGGACTGTGACACCATTGGGCAGGTGAAGGAGAAGATCTTGGACGGATTCTACAAAAACTCACCTTGCTCAGTGAGACCGCGCGTCGAAGACGTCGACCTAGGTGAGGCTCTTGGCCTGTTCCGCACTTTGCGTGGCGCGGTATAAATCCTGCCATTGCTGCCCTGCAGCGTGGAAAGTCATCGGGGTGGAGGGTGGCAGTGGGTGGCAGGCATGACACGGTCACCATTAACCATTAAACAGGTGTCAATATGAGTTTAACACCTAGGCTTTCGCGACCAATATTATCAATAATAGAGGTTTTCGGGTTAGATTCCATACAAATGCGACGCAAGAATGGGTAACGATGTGATGTGCTTCCATATATCTTGGGACTCACGTGAACTGAAACATTTTTTTTGGGACGTGTAAATCGAAAATAATAATAATAATAATCTTCTCGTGTGTGGTCATTCGAAGCGTGTATCGTCAGCACCGTGAGTTTGTTCGACCCGTAACCTCCCCGATCTCTCCAACCGCACCGGCTCCTAAGCAAAAACAGATCGCAGCGGAAACTCGAGAGCTGTTGGCCGTGCCCAAGTAATGCCACGCATGAAGAGGCAACACAGCAAGTGGGCGGCAAACCGGGAGACTTTCTCGTGATCATAAAGTGGCCATGCAGTGAATGCACTGCCCACATTTTGAGTTTTGAATGCCATGCACAAATGCTAAATAATGATGATGTGGCCTGAAAAGGATTTGGCTTCCCCTGGCTGGTTCCACATTTGAACGTAAATCGAAGGTGGCTTGCCAGCTCGCGGCTTTAATGTGTGGATGCTGGGGAGCTGAGCCAACGGCCTCTGCAGAATTACCGAAGAAAGAAGGATGGGGGGGGGGGGGGGGGGGTGCGCAATTTGAAGTCATGCTGAAGGGTGATTGTATTTCCCCTTTGCTTCCTGGTGAAGTGAACCAGACCAATTCGCCTCCCAATTAGATCACCCAAGAATGCACTCAATCTCGTCCGATCTTGGAAGCTAAGCAGGTGGTTGAGTCCGCATGGCGAACTGCCTGGGACTACTTGGTATTGTAGACTGCAGGGCGGTAGTCCGACATTGCAGTCTGGAATATAAACGTGTATTGCCATTGTTGTATACATGCATTTTCTCTGGGTACTCTGGTTTCATCCCGCATGAACACGAACGCTTATTTACGTGACAGGACAAGCATGCCAATGGAGGACCCTGTTGGAAATGTGTCTAGACACATATAACAATGATAAAATCGGCCCTTTGTCAATCCACTGTTGAATGAAGGCCTACCCCATGCCGTGTCAGTCACGAGGGTTTGACCATACTTCACCATCCTGGTCAGTGACGATTGGTTGGTGAAGGTAGGGGGGAAGGGGGTGGCCATGACAAGTTCAGATATCGCTCATCACTGACGTCAGCCGTGGCGGGGAAACGAACTCAATATTCTCGTTTCATAGCGTATCGCACTCACCACTGCTTTTGTGTTTACTTTGTTGTCCTTCCGCCACACCTCCGATTGGCGCAGTTTGCTACGTACGGTGCGAAATAAGTTCAACATACATACATACAATCACCACTCCCCCCCCCAAAAAAAATAATGATTCAGGGTATTGTTATACTGGTAGGAACGAAGTTGTAAACTGAGTGTACCAGCCTGCAATAGATTAATGTGTCCGTCCGTCCGTCCCCTTTCAATACTTTAACGAAGTGAAATCTCGTGCTGTTGGGTGTAAAATCAGCAATAGACAGCGCAGAGACTTGATATGTCTTATTGCACCCAACATTTGGAAGTCACATGATCTCATTTGCGAACTTCTACCAGCCCACCCTGCAGGGACCTGTTTGTTATTAACTCTGGGACGTAATTTATTTATATATATATGTAAATGAGCCATGCACAATGCCTACTGAGTGCTTTGGCGGGAGAGCCACTCAGGAGGAAGTAGTGCATGCAAGCCACTCGAGGTGACAAGTCAGCGGCGGGCACCGTGTTTAATGGGTCATTGTGAAGTGACTAAGTGAGGAGCGTTGTGTCTTGTGGGCCTGCCCCGTTCATTAAAAATGTAAACACATCATTTGTGGCCTCCACGTGCACACTATAATAATAATACAACTGCTATTAGCACTGAGTTTACAATTTCACCAAAAGTGTGCCCATAAAGATAACGCCCATTATTAAAGACTCATAATTGGGCTGCATGTTGAGCTCAGTCAATACAAACTACAAAGACAAAGATCTCCCGTATAGCCTTCAACAGGCTGTTGGGATAAGTGCTGTTCGCGAGCACCTATTAACGCCGGAATATGCGCGCCATGGCACATAAAAAGGATGCTGTGACCAGCAGCATGCCCGGCCGCCTTTGTCTCCACAGTGCTGCTGTTTTCGCACGGAACCAGCTACTCAACTTAGAATCGAATCGACCGTGGGGAGGCTCAGGACTGGTTCAGATATTCGTCACTGTTGGCTGTGAGCAGGAATCGAACTCAGGTCACCGGGTTCTTTGTGCGGTGACCTAACCACTGTATATCTCCAGCTATAGCTTCATTTTTCCGCCATGGCATTGGCGACGTGCATCATATCAAGATTTTAGGGAGTCCCAGGTGTATGCCAGCATCTCAGCTCAGGTTGTTTTCGAATTATTGAGTTGCTGCGTGCTGTTGAAGATCACTTGAAGGTTCTTTGGTTTTAAATGTACGTGCATACAGTAATAGACATGAGGTGGAGCAGTGGTGCTGCGGTTCTCTTACTGCACCGTGAGCCCAGCGAACTCAGTTTGAATCCTCGTCACAGCTAACATCGGTGGCAAGAGTTATCTGTCAGTGTCTTGGCCCACGCTCCATCACCAACCCACACTGGCCAGCAGTGATGAGTTCAAACAGGTCCCATGACGGTCACAGAGCATGGAGGCGTTCATCCAGCAGTAGATTGACGTCAGGCTGTAAACTATTTATCAGAAATACGTTGCCAACATTTCAACCCCACATTTCAATCCACTTGTCGAAAAATAACAACAATTATTGCAATTCTAATAATGAATTCAACCTTTATGGACACCCTGTATATAGCTATCTCACTCGAAGGAGCCACACGAACTGAGAATTGTGACCATGAGTGTGTCGTGCAGGTCACACGCGTGTACGCTATAAATGCGAATGCGAAACTCGGCCACTCGAGTATCAGCGACGCGCTGCAACAAATTCTCTGTCAGTCGCATGAACTTCACTGGCCTGGAAATGAAATCGCTCCTCAGAGTTCACGTGCGTTGTGCGCCCCGCCGCCCCCTCCCATGTCGGACCGCGTTTCAACCGCACCCACAGAGTGGTTCCCCGAATCCGGCGGGAGCATCATTCTGCGCAACCTGGTGGACATATCACAAGTAGAAGGGGCGAAGCAAAAAATAAACAGCGTGTCCGCCTACCAGGTGAGTAGCTGCCCAGGCAACAACCTGAGCAGGGCTTCACGCGTGGACGCTTTCGTCGCAAGTCGCGCTTAGGATAAGGCTTAGGATTCGCACGAACGCTGGCGCTTGCCTAGATGTGTCGGCAAACCCGGAACACCCTACATCGCATCATCTCGCATCGACCTGCTGCCGTCTCGCCAAGGAGAGCCACCAGTGGCAGCCCTGTGCGGCGCGAGGTGTACGCATCACCGGCCTAGCACTCGCTGAGTCACTCAATGGCGGGTAGTCGCCTCCTCATCGCCCACGGTTACTGTATCCGCGAACTCCACGCATTGCTTCCTCCATGCTGAGTACTCAGCGTACCACAAGAGCACTTCTCCTTCTGCTGTTCCCCTCGCACTGCTCAAGTTCGGAATCCCCCCCCCCCGAACGGCTTCTGTACAGCCACTTTTGTGAACTATAGACAGTGTATATATGCTTTCTCATTGTATAGAATTTTTCTGTTTTCATGTTTATGAGTATTAATGTGCGATGGCGCTTCGAGTGGCAGATTTGTGGCACCAAGGCGCCACGTGATTAAGCAAGAATGAAATGTACTCGACTTTAACCAAGCCGGTATAATAACCGTGTTCATTTGAAGCAAAGTTATCGATGGTTATCTATTACAACTTCAGTATTGCTGTTTGTTGTTCGTCACTTAGAGTTTTTAGCCTGTGCTCAGCTAATGTGTAATGGAAACAAAAATACTTTGCTAATAGTAAAAACACTCGTTACATCTGTCCTCCTGATGCTGAGATTGTTTTGGTTATTTGTGGTTGCACACCACTGTCAAGCAGCAGCAGCAGCAGCAACAGAAGAAACAAATAACGTGATTAAAACCAAAAACAACATCTCAAGGACGGGATAAGCTTTTCACCCAACTCCAGCAACACATGGGCCTTGGTGAGGTCTTGTAAAATCCTCGGCGGGCCTCTCTCTGATAGGCGTGTTCATTTTACAGATTCCCGATGGGGCATCTTTAGCGCTGAGCTTCAAGGACAAGAAAAACATCTGTCCGAACGAAGGTGCGCTATATTACACGGGCGCACACTGTAATCCATGTTATTGACAGAGCGTCCTCTCGCACGGATGGACACCCACACGTACTCTAACACTCAGTCACACTGATGAAGGCACAGAGAGAGAGTGTTTCTTATAACAGCACTTTAACTGGCAGCTGGGATTGACATCTCCCCCCCCCCGCCCACCCCGTTCTCCAGATTAAAGTTTAGGACTCACGGCTACACTGATTTTAACAACTACCAGGCATCTTGCTTGGTCAGTGTTTCACAGAAGGCTGTGCCTAGGAGTATTCACGCAAGGCTGCCTTGTCGTATGTTGTTCCATGATTTCAGAGTTTTCTTTTTATTGTTTATTAAAATACATCTTCCTATTTACATTGTAAAATTTTATCTTTCAGATAACCTTAAGGACAACGACAACTATTTCCACTTGGTAAGTTGATATTTTCACATTACATTTTATGTTTTATATATATATGTTCATGCCATTTGCGGGGAATGTTGCAGCACTGACTTCTTTGCCTTCCAGGTGACTCCAGCTGATGAGATGATGGAGGTTAAGAAGTCTAAATCTCAACAAGGAAAAAGGAAGAAAGTCCTGCCTGAGGTTTACCTCACAAGACTTCTGTCTACGAAGGTAGAGGCTCGGGTGTCCTGATGCACTGTGCTTGTTTATTAGCACAAAAAGCCTCACCGATTTGGCGAACTGGAAATCATAATAATGCCGTTATTGCAATAAGGCCTTAATATATCTCACGACTCTTTTGCCGGATGGTCCTGGACAATTCAATTCATGAGTGTTTGGTTTCATGCGGGAGTAAATGGGAATAGCCAGAGGAAATCCCACACGTTTGAGGAGGCAACACGCAGAGCTCCACACAGATACCTTCAAGAAAGATTTCCGTATTGTCTCCCTGTGGTCACCTTGTAAGCCCAAGTGTCCAGGGTCTTGTATTGCCAGACATATTCCCATCCAATGACTAGCCATGCTCAACCCCGCTTAACTTACAAATATTTGATAAGACCGGGTGCGTTTAAGTTGATGTGGTTGTCGGCTTTGTGAGTAAACCATCCAGTTGCCACCATACAATAGTGGCCTCCGGACTCTGTGATGTCGTCTGACTGCTGCCTTCTCTTCCACTGAGCCCCTCTGCTTGTCTTCCCTTCCCTCAGTCTCTAGAGTTTTGCCTCTCATCTCTCGTCAGTAGTTTTCATGACACGTGCTGCCCACGTCCACCTGAGTTCTTTTGCTTTGGCAGCAGCAGCAGCCTTAGTGACCCATCCTTATGGTTACCCCTGTTTTTCCTTATTTCCTTATTTCCTATTCTTGGTTCTTTCGGTAAAGTCACGTAGAAGGGAAACAATAAAATAATAAAAATATAAAACAATAAAATTCTCACTACGTTTTGACTGCAACACAAGCAATCATCATCAGGTGTGAAAACCACAGCAAGAAAATTCTTGCTGTGGTTTTCACACCTGATGATGATTGCTTGTTGTTGCAGTCGAAACGTCGTGATAATTTTATTGTTTTCTATCTTTATTATTTGATTGTTTCCCTTCTACGTGACTTTACCGAAAGAACCAATAATATGAATTCCTGCAGTCACGAAAGCTTTAAATCAAAATTCATTATTTCCTATTTCAATAGCATGCAGTTAACATTCTCGACGTTTGACGGTCATGCGATCTTTACCGTCCACCGGGAAACGGATTGCACGTACCGCCGTAGTGTTAACCAGGGCGGCCGCTAGCCTCGAACCGCGATCCTCCGTAGCCTAGTGGCAAACGCGCCACCCACCGCTGGATCGTGTCACCGCAGGGCACGCTGCAGAAGTTTGTGACCGACCTCTTCCGGGCGATCCTCACGTACCCGGCGGAGCAGCCGCCCATGGCCATCAAGTTCTTCTTCGACTTCCTCGAAGAGCAGGCGGAGAGTCGGGGAATTGTGGACCCGGAAACCGTGCACATCTGGAAGACCAACAGGTACCCGCGCAGGCTGCCCAACCGACCGACCGACCGATTGGTTACTCGCACCTGTGAATGTCACGAATCGCAGTTCCCTACGTGTGTCTCGTTGGCAACATACAAGGGATTCATGATGTGTTTGTGATAAGAGCCACCCGGCTTCACGCCGGTGGCGTCTCAGAGGGCTTTACACGCGACAAGCGACTTGCATCTCATCTCAGCGCATTGAAAGGGCACCCCCAGTGGCAGCTGTCCCGTTGTGGCACAGAACGACTCGGCAGCTGTACCTACAAGCGGGCATGAGTCTTCCGGTAGTAGGCGATGACCCCTGCGATGCATAATCCCGAATTGAGTAATTAGCGAGTAGTTTTTTTCGAAATTGGCAAATCTCGACCATAATGCCGAGATACAACGGCCCACTCATTTCAAATTACATCATGCGTCCACTGTGATGCAGACGTCACACGTGTTATGGTTAACACACCTGCAGCATTAACCAGGGCTGCCTGCCGGATTTGAACCGCGAACCTCTGCAACAAGTATCGAACGAGCTACTGCAGGGCTGTGTCACCCTGGTCCATTTAATTTCTGTGAATCTGTATTTTACTGTTGCGCAAGATCTGTTTGTAAACAGGGTACACGGATAATGTAACGGGCTGTTACGTCTGGATTGACAAATTGCATCTTTCACCAGGCGGCCAATGACATGCGCGACATGAAGATGCTCGGGCACATTCATTTTTATTATTGCTTCTAATGCAGCATGAGCATATGCACCAAATGTACAAATAGAAAGATCCCCTGTATTATAGCTTTAACAGACTGTTGGGGCAAGTGCTGTTAGCGAGCGCTTATGAAGGCCAGCACGGCACACACGAAGGAGTGGGTGGCCAGCACCACGCCTGGCCCCCTTTGTCTCCCTAGTGGCAATGATTACATACTGCACTAGGTACTCATTTGAGGCTCAGTCGACCTAGGGGAGGCCCGGGACCGCTTCAGATAACTGTCACTGGCGTTGGCCATGAACGGGAATCGAAATTGGGTCGCCGGGTTCAAAGCACAGCGCGCCAACCGCTGCACTGCTTAAACGAGAACGCAGCATGACCATTTGCCCCAAATGTACACACAATCACATGTCTTTGAACCTAGTAGAAGCCCAAGGCAGTGTCAAACTAAGGCAGCTTTAAAATCCTTCACGTTCAATCGCGTTGCACGGGGCACGTTGAGAATTGCCCGCTGCTTTTATATCAATGCCCCAATCTCAAGACAGCCCGGTGTCAAGGTTGCAAAGGTGTGCCTAAACCAATGACAGTGATTAAACAAACGACACAGCTTCGTCACTTTATTAATCCGCAGTTAACTTGGCACAAAGAAAGGAAAGAAACGGAGCACGCACGTCTAACCAGGTGTGCAGTTTTGTGCGTGACCGCAATACTTACAACAACAAAAACAGCAGCAGCAGCAGCAGCAGTGATTGCACGACGGCGTGGGTGCCACGGCGCGACACTAACCCCGCTGCATTTGTTCACGGCTGACAGAGACCCTGAAGGCAATTACCCGTACGAGTTGTGGCGAATGAACGGTCGGTGGTGGGTGTTAGTGGGGGGGAGGTGGGTGGGGGGGGAGAAGAAGGAGTGGGGGGGAAGGGGGCGGGGGGGTGCACGTGCCATCACGGCGCGTCTCGATAATGGCCGTCAGCCGCTCAGCGCCGTCCCGCCGTGTGCCCACAGCCTGCCGCTGCGCTTCTGGGTGAACATCCTGAAGAACCCGCAGTTCGTGTTCGACCTGGAGAAGACCACGCACATGGACGCCTGCCTCAGCGTCATCGCGCAGGCTTTCATCGACGCCTGCTCACTCTCGTCGCTCACCCTTGGCAAGGCAAGCGGGCGGGCGGACACGTGGGCGGGCGGGCGGACACATGGGCGGGTTGGCTTTTGAGTGTGGAGGAATGTTCATTCTGGTTAAAAAATATTAATAGAAATACGATGTCCTTTATTGATGGCCCATGGCCAAGGATAGTAACAAAGCGGCAGGCAGGGAAAGGAACGTGTCAGACAGGACGTCTACCGAGGAGATGGAGCGATGGAATCAGCTCATGTGCAGGTGTTGGGCGGATTTACTACATCGCAGGATTGTCAGGGATAGCGATGGCCTTAGGAGGATCTCACCCGGCAGTGGAAATAAGCAGGCAACTTGTCTCCTTCACATATCTGTCTCTCCACGTAACAAATAAAAGACTTCTACACATCCCATCAGCTGTGCGCCCTTCTGGGAGTGCATAATGTCAGCATTGCTGATTCAAGACGAGCAAATTGGATCCAGAAGTGGAATGACCGTTGCTGATGATGATGATGGCGATGATGATACCTCCCCTTTAGCTTATAGCAGAGCATTATAAAATCAAGGTCAGAGTGCGCCAACCGCTGCGCCACCGTTCCTCTCCTTCTACGGCGCGTGACATTTATGAAATTCTCCCCCCGACTACCCAATTCACTGCACCGATTTGCAATTATTACGCACATTGCAGCGACTTCATCCGCGCCTGTAAAATCCACGCGGCGGCAGTTTCAGCTTGACTCAAACGCGGCTGATATGTGGAAGTCACAAATCACGCGCCCGCAGGGGTGGTGGTGGGACTTCGGGGCTGCCGCGTCACGGCTCCCGTCCCCGCGGGGGCCCTGCGGAGCAACGGGCGCCGGAAGGAAGCGTGCGCTTGAATCACGGCCACAGGAAGTCTGGATTAATCAGCCAAGGGAAACGCGGACGGCCAGGCGGACTTTTGTTTTGTTTTTGCTTTGTTTGTCCGGCGTTTTCGTGTGCCACTTTAGGCACGCGACGGGGCCACATTTTTAGGCGTTTTGTTTTCCTTTTCTTTTTTTGTTTCGCTCACCATGTGGCAGCAGCGGTGGCACCGTGGGAATGTTTTCCAAGAAAATTCCTGTGGGGATCACTTTGGAATAGAATTAATGTGTTGTATATTTCCCTCCCCCCCCTCACCCCCCCCCCCCCACGTATTTTCCCCTTCATCGTTAAATTGCAACAACAAAAAAGGCGATTTATAACAATTCTGGATCTGAAACACTACCCAATTGTTGGTGGAGGTCAATGAAAAAAATGGCTCTGCCGTCTTGAGGTAGCGTCCCTCCTCATGTGTATGTCTGTGTCCATTCAGTTTGTGATTGTGCAACTTTTAATAACCTGGAGTTATGAAACACAGCATGAACACGGCGCCTTTCCTAGAAATCTACTTCAAAGTGTAGCAGCCTCATTAGCACTCACATTGAGCATGCTGCTCCCCCTTCGTTTATATTACAACCTGTACAATATAATTTCAGTTGTTTACAGACATGCATTTCTACATTACGTTGCATTATAATCTATTATGTGGATCGGAGCCAGTGCCTAAATGTCACAGCACCTCAAGATGCTGTGCAGATGTACATGGAGGGAGGGATAGAGAAATTTATTTTAATTTATATTTTTTGGCGAGTGGTAGAATTTCACAGCCCAGGAAGGGCTTATCGCAGGGTGCATCCATGGCGATTTATTCGTCGGAATTTCACTTGAGGGCCGGGCCTCGCGGTCCAAAAATGTTTCCACACAAACAAAAAATAACAACTGAATTGGAATAACCGATGGCAACATCGCCCCCTGATAACGGAACGACATTATTCGTATAACTCGATTGGGAATACGCGTGACCAATGCTCGCCCCCTCATGACAGACTCATGCCCATTGGCAGGCCAGTGCCAAATGGCATTGTGCTGCACAAAGACAGCTACAACTGGGGATGCCCCTCGGCTAAACTAGAGGATAAAAAAAAACACTCGAGTTGGCCATTGTAATGACCGGAATGAGATGCAAGGCGCTGCGGGATTCAAGCGCCCATTTAAGCGCCCATTTAAGCGTCCATTAAATTGCGTGAGATGTTAATTCCCTCGCCTGGTATGCAGGAGGCCGTGGGTTCGATCCCCACCCTGGTGTCTGTATTTTTGGAGTTTGCATGGCTCTCTTCCCGTGGTCATGTGGATTTTTCTGCTGGTCCTCCGTTTTTCTTTCTCCGCGTAAAAAAACACGCGTTTAGAGTATTCGACTGCTTTACATTTCCACATGATGAGCCACTTCGTTGAGCTATCATTTTGTGGCCCGGTTGCTTCTGAAACAAACCAAAAAGCCACATAGCTCAGTGGGCCTTACCCGGTAAAACATTTTCATTTTAGTTTTTTTTAGTAAACACAAAACCTTAATCTTATCCCTCGCGCTGAGAATGTGCCCGGGGCACGGAAGCAGGTGGGTCGGCGTTGTCTATCAGCGCGAGTGGACGCGCGGTGCGACCGTCTCAGCTGCAACTCAATAACGCGCGGGCGCGGGAGCCCCACCGGCGCCACGGCCCTGCCGCCCCCTCTGACGCTCGCCTCCCACTCGTAATCGATCAACCTCCTTACCTTATTCTCGCCGGTAAAGTACATCCTCGCTCGCCAGATTTTTTTTTTTTCTGACAACATCAATAGAGCGGTCTGCCGAGTGGTGAGCTAACGGAAAATTAATCGGTGCTCAATTTCGGTCGGACGAGTCCGGAAGACCGTTCCGGTAATTATTTTGGGCAAGGCCACATCCATCTTGCCTTATTATGCCCTCATTGTTATAACATATACGCCTATAAACATGTGCATAGGATTATAGGAATAGAGGCCACGAGCAATGTAGGTATATATTGTGGATGGACATTCCTTGGACTGTAGTCTAGAAGTTGTGCCTCCTAATCTCTACTCCAAGCCAGCCTTGCAGCTTGGAGATTAGGCTCTGGAAATAATATAAATACGTCTCAGGCAGTGGTTTAAGCCTGGGACTTTTAATCTCGATGGGTGCATCCCGAGAGTCGTAGTTGTTCCGTCGCAGTCCCAAAAAAAGTCCAGCTGTAACATTCTCCCATAGGCAACAGTCCAAGCACGCCTGTGTGTGTGTGCGTTGTGTGTGTGTGTGTTGTTATGGGGAGCGGTGGAGCAGCGGTTAGCGTGCTGCGCTACGCACCTGGCGACCCGAGTTCGATTTCCACTCACGGCCAACACCAGTGACGATTATCTGTGCCAGTCCTGGGCCTTCCTTAGGTCGACTCGGCCTCAAATCAGAACCTGGTGTGGTGCGTAAACATCGATACTAGGGAGACAAAGGTGGCCGGGCATGATCCCAGCCATCCACCCCTTTTGTGTGCCGTGCCAGCCTGGTAAAACGAAAAAAATGGTTTAGTTTAGTTTAATTAGGGCACGCTAACAGCACTTTCCCTAAAAGTCTGTGAAGGCTATACGGAGGAGTGGGGGGGGGTGGATCGTCGTCTTTGTTTGTCTAGTTGTGTAATTGTGCCGCTGCTTCAGCAGGAACGCCCGTGCCCTTGTCATTCCCACGTGGCCGGCTTCATCTCACGGAACAAGCTGCTCCGTTGTGATGGGGCAGCGTTGGAGCGCACAAGAGCCTGGTGTATTTAAAAAAAGTAAAAACCCCGTCATCGGCGATGGCGGGGTGCGTCAGCCGAGCGGCGCGCACTCACAAGGCGCCCCTTTATGCGCCCGTCTCCCCTAACCGAAACCTCGTGCCTCTTGCCGTTTTGTTCCCACACGCCCAGGACTCTCCCACGAACAAGCTGCTCTACGCCAAGGAGATCCCCGAGTACAAAAGCCTGGTGTTCGAGTACTACAATGACATCCAGCAGCTGCCCATGCTGAGCGAACAGGAAATGAACTCGTACATGGCCGAGGAGTCGATGGTGCGTGTTTGCGAGCGCACGCACGCGCGGTTTCGTTCGTTTCCCGCTCACGGCCAACGTCGGTGACGAATTTCTGAACTGGTCCTCAGCCTTGAGTGAGCACCTAGTGCGGTACGTAAACATCTCAGCATTGGGGGAGATGTGCAAAGGCGGCAGGACGTAATGCTGGTCACACTTCCCCCTTGGTGTGCCGTGTCGGCCTTCATAGGTGCTCGCTAACATCACATGCCCCAACAGCCTGTGTAGGCTGTCGGGAGGGACCTTTGGGCACGCGCAATGAACGCAGTGCAACCGAGCTGGATTCTGGACCACGGCTAAGTGGTGGTTAACTGATGACTGAACCCTTGGGCCACCCTGTCCAGATTGGCTCAGCCTTAAATGAGTACCCGGTGTGCCGTGTGCTCATTCCGCACTGGCGAGACAAAAGGTGACCCGGCGTGGTGTTGGCCACAAACGACGACCTCACGTGCCGTTTCCGGCCGTCAGAGACGCTCGCGAACAACACTTGCCCCTCCGACCTGCGTAGGCAACAACGGGGGAATCTCTGTTGGGTGCGTGTACACATGTCAAGCATTCCACTGCTGGATGAGGGCCTCCCCATCTATGCCGGCGCGACTCGTGGGGGGCGGGGGTCGTTTAGACCGGACTACACCAAGCCGATTGCTGTGGCTTGGTGAAGGCGGGGAGCGTACGCCTTGGCACAATAGAAACAAACAGTACGCTACAACAATGGATGTTTTTTTTTTCTGCCTTACCCCCTGCTCCCCACCGTGTAGCCCCAACAGCAGCCCACATCTCGCCTCCTCTGTTTTACGGGCGGCGGTCACACCGTCCGTTGACCAGCCAGTCCCAGCGATGCCCGTTCCCCGAGCCAGCAGCCAATACGTGGTTGTGTAGATTTAACGTGATCACAGTTCAGTCGCGGTCGACACCCACTCGCCCGCAAAGAAGTTGCCGGCAGATTGGGGGTGGGGGGGGTAGGCAGATTTCATGGGTCCTATCTGTAATCTAACCAACCAATAACCAGCGGGAACCATTTGCTAGTCGGGCATCCCTCTAACTTCCGAAGTGTGACTGTGCCCCCTGGCTGTGAGGGAGTTGGCGGGGGGGGGTCCTTGGTACGCAGGCAGTGGGAGCTGTGGGTGGGGGGGGGGGGGTTAAACCTCAAGAGACTCGGTTCACCCGATCCAGCCCAACCCTTCCTGCCCTTCCACCCCCCCCCCTCATAACAATCCCCCCCCCCCCCCCAATCCCATTCTCCCAACCCCGCACCCTCCCCGCCATCCTCCCAGCCGCCCAGGCAGAACATGTTTTCCGAGAGTGACACGGCCACAGGAAATTAACCGCCTTGTCAGCGAAGCCGTGCGCGAAATTCGCGGCGGGCGTTTATTCGCTCGGCGGACGTGGCTCCAGCTGCGTGTCGGAGCATCGCCGAAGGCGCGGAAATGCAGCGCACGATGCACTGGTGTAATAAACTAAACTAAAAACTAAACTTTTATTTTTTTTCCAGGTAAGGCCCCCACCGAGCTGTGTAGCTCTTTTTCCGAAGCGACCTGGCCACTCGTGATAGTTCAACAGAGTGGCTTATCACGTGGACATATTTTGCAGCCAAACGCTCTAGATGCACGTTGATTATAAATGTGGGAGGGAAAAACCGGAGGACCCGGAGAAAACCCCACGTGACTACGGGGAGAGAGACATGCAAACTGCAAATATACAGGCGTCCCGCAGCCGTGCCGAGCTTTTCCTGACTGTGCCTCTGTACAGTCTATGCCGTGTGTTTTCCGGTTGTACCTCCTCCCGACGTTCCGCTCCACATGCCCCGGAGGTCCATTTCTGTTTTTTTGCCGAATAGTCTCCTAGCACAGGGAGCGAAACGTTGGAACGTTGTGCAGAAACGACGCCCGTGGTACGACCACGAAAAACGTCCATTGGAGACGAGTTAACAAGGTCACCGATGTGTCATCGGAAACCCGCTCACTGGAAAAAATGCGCTTTACTACACGTCCCGCGAATGAGCGGCAATATAACAGCGGCAGCTTGCTCAGCCATCCTGGGTTTCGTTTTACGCTGTGAAATTTAATGGAAATGTCGTCTAGTTGTACACAGCTGTGACACAGCCATCCAATTTACAGTAAGTGTTTTGTGGCAGCATTGCATCACGTGCTGTCACTCAGACGAGTTTCTGTCTTTGACTATAAACAAGTTAAAACTGGTGAGAGGCAGACTCGACTTAGGATGAGGATATGTTATGATTTGCACTCACAGGGCTATAAAATTCACCAGCATCTCAAAGTGCCTCCCATCACATCTCATCTTCACTGTTCCATTGCCCTCCAGCTATCTAGCATAATGAGACTCCCAGTAGCAATGATCTAAGTTGTTTAATCCAATTAATTACTCCAGTCGGTGCTTTATAACAATAAATTATAATGATAATTACCTATTTACCCCAGAATGCCACGGTGGCTCCAAAGACTAATTTCTGATGAGGGCCCTGCTGCATTGGGATGTTTGGCCAAGACCAATGACATTGTGTGTGTGTTTTCTTTGGAAGAAAACCATTGATGCCATTAGCAACCCATGCAGAACAGGGGGAGAACATACGTACGCCACATAGAAAAGGCTTCATAGTCAGGAATCAAACCCCCTGCCACCCGGCCGCTTTGACAAGTGTGGTTATTTATATTATACTCTTTGGTTCTTTCGGTAAAGTCACGTAGGTAGAAACTATTATTTAGATTTTTATACCTACATGACTTTACCGAAAGAACCAAAGCGTCACGAAAGCTTCAAATCAAGATATTTATATTATGTCGAATGAACTTGTTTTTCAATGTTTTTTTTTCTTTTAATGATGGTAATTAGCAATTCTGCGTTTTCAGTTCCCGAGATTGATTACATGTTTTCTTTTTTTGTCACCAGAGGTACACCAATGAGTTCAACACCAACTACGCCATGTCGGAAATATACAAGTACGCAAAGAGGTATCGACATGAGGTGAGCGCTTCTTCCTGGGAAATCACGTTTTCGCTTTAACAACCGTCGCCACTTCGACAGCACGGCTAAAATACTGTATCCACTTGCGTAAAAGATTGCTCAGTGGGGCAAACTCAGCTTTGACACAATAAAATCACTCGTCAGAATATGCCGCCATTATCATTATTATTATCATCGTCAAGTGTCAGCCGCACTAGAGTATGCGATAGAGTTTTGACGTTATCCACGTGAAATAAGTTATGCACATTACGCAAAATCCAGCCGGGCGGCTGAGCAGTTGAGCAAGCGGCTGCGGGCGGTTGACTCAGCCCACCACGTGGAGGGAAGTCACCCATGGTTGTCCTAGGCAGAGACTTGCCCTTGCCATAAGAATGTGGACTTTCCGCCACTGGCTGAGGACTCTAAACGGTTGTGATCCACCAAACCCCCATTCCCATCCAGACGTCACTTGTCCAGGGTGCGTTTGAATCAGGAATTGCTGAAGTATTTTCCCATTACGCTCAACGTTTTCCAGTCATTCAGTTGATATTATTTCGGGTTTAGTGTGTTTACACTTGAATTCAAATGCAGTTATTGAGCCATGATCTATCAGCTGCTGGATGAAGACTTCCCTAACTGCCGCAATGCTAATTTAAGCAGATGATCACTTTTGACTTTTTGAAGTGAAATGTAAATAATTTTCGGTTTTGTGGTTCGGGTTGTTCGGTTGCTGCTGGGTGAAGCAGCGTGCCGCGTGTGCGTGTCTTCTGTGTGTCTGTGTATGGGAGAGCGGTAGTGTAGCGGTTAGCGCACTGCACTACGAACCTGGCGACCCGAGTTCGATTCCCGCTCACGGCCAACACCATTGACGATTATCTGAACCGGTCCTGGGCCTCCCCCTCGGTTGACTCAGCCTGATATGAGTACCTGGTGTAGTGTGTAAACATCGCCACTGGGGAGACAAAGGCGGTCGGGCGTGGTGTTGGCCACTTTGTATACCGTTCCGGCCTTCATAGGTGCTCGCTAACAGCACTTGCCCCAAATGTATATTAAGGCTATACAGCGGATCTTTGTCTTTCTTCATCTTTGTGCGTGTGTGTGCGCGTGCGCGTGGCATTTCCACGACAGATCGTCGACTCACTGGAAGAGAATCTGACGACGCGCAAGATGCAGCTGGCCCACAAGTTTGAGCAGGTCATCGTCCTCATGGAAGACAACATCTATGAAACCAGCAGCGAAGTGTGACCCCCTTCGCCAAGCAGCGCCGGGTCCAGAGCATCAGGTGGACCGACTGTGTGACCAAATCTCTCTCAATCTTTCACTGGTTCTTGGAAATAATGCAAAGAAGCGTGACTTATTTTTCCAAGACCGCCTCTCCGGAAACACTGGGTCGACCGACCTACATTGGGTGAACGAGCTACCACCAATTCATGCCGAATGCTCCTGACCTCATCGGATCTCGGAAGCTAAGCAGTGCATTGACGCTGGTTAGCGCTTAGATGGGTGACGACCGGGGCTTGCCAGGCGTTGTAGTCGCGGAGTTGCACGGCGTCGTCAGGAGATGGCATTGTTGAGTGTCTAATACTTGGTGGGTTTTCTCTGCGCACTCAGGTTTTCCTCCAAAGATGAAGCTAAACACCCAATGTAGCAGGACCCTGCTGAAAAATATATATATTTGCATTAGCATTGCTATTTTATTTTACAGGTTGCGCTTTCATTATAATAACGTTTCGTTTTTGCAAAGCGTCGTTCAATCAAATTGCATCTCACGATCGCTGGGGAACCACAGATAAGCTGTGGAGGGAAGCTTCTGAATCGTTCGATTGAAATAGCACATTTTACAGTTGATACATTGCCCCGTTCTGCGGTTGAATCGAAGCGTTTGTGCAACCGAGTTACGCCCAGCGTCGATAAATAATGGGCAGCTCGTTATTTACATTTGCACGACAGACCACTTCAACTGTGAAACTAAGGATTTCACCCAATGACATGGCAAGGCAGTGCTGGGAAAGCGATGAGAGAAGAGCGATAGTTTTATGTTGGGTAAGTGAAATTACTCCACCGTGGAGTTTCTGCAATTTGCATTCAGCCAAAAAAGGTAATGACTCCCGTCCAATGCGCTGGGTCTGGTTTGTCGAGTGGTGTGGAGTGCGCAAAATTTGTAAATCAATTTTGCTGCGCAAAAAAATATATACACGAACGATGCAGTCTGTGGAGATTGCACTTTAGCCATGCAATTGCCTTGTATTGCTTCCTGTTTAAAAATGCAGTGTTTATTGGCGACAGATTGATCAGTTTGGGAGGTGGAGTTGTGCCCTCGGTTAATGTGAAGCGCGGCAGTCTGCCCGTCGTATGGTTAGTAGGCATATAACGAACCGTAATTTCACGGATTGAAATTTATTCTGGCAGCATTGGATCGTGCACAGAAGGATAATTTATTGGTAATTCACGCACGATATATATGCCAGTGATATGCTCGCGTTTCATTCTACCGAATGGAACAAGACACAAAAACAGGTGAAAAGCGCACGGTCTTTGTTTTGTGCAAATAACCATCAGTAATTTACCGAAGAAGTCGAAATTGTCTTAGATCACCATCAAAATAAATATAAGCAAATGTGACTGACTGATGCTGAATGAAGGCAAGAGGAGCACAATGCAATTATTCAGGAAATGCTAATGATTTTATTGCATATGCACAAAGGCTGTGCACTTTTGACACATTTTACTACCTTGATTGAAGCTCGTGGTGTTTCAGCCTGCACAATGATTCTGTTGTGATTGGGGTTTTCTCGTCATTACAGTTTTGATAACCTAATCGAAAAAGAAAACAAATTTCCGGACAAATTAGACCAATAAAAGAAACCACACAAACGCCATACGATAAATAGGTTTATTCTAAAGTAAAACTGCGACTAAGAATCGTGACAATTCATCGAATTGCTGGGGTCATCTATTGTTACATGCCTTGTGATGAAAAAATCTGACTGTAAAAATACTCTTAACCTGAGCCACCTGCTTTGTCTAAAATGACACAGGCTGAAGCATGTAAAATTACAAACCTGTGCCCTCGTAATGTCCAGATGTGGTGGCAGAGCCTTGTTCATCAAAGGTGTAACGGAGTATCGATTCAGCCAGTAATATCCATGATCGAGCCCAGGATACGTGCGACGAGTCGCGCGTGTAAGAGTCGATGTTTGTCGTTTCGTATGTATGTCGTAAGCAATGGGCTCGTCGAAACACAATGTGAAACACTTGATTCGTTATACATGAATCGACTTGTGACCCTGAATGAAGACAAATTATTGAGTGTCCAGACAAATGTTGAATATTGGGTGAATTCGTTATGCCCCTACTACATCGGATGGCGAGCGCTTATGATCCAGCAGAGTTGCGGTGGTAGAGTTGTACTCGGATTAGGGTTCGTAGTCTCATCTTGATTTGAAGTTTTCGTGACTGCAGGGATCTATACTCTTTGGATATTTCGGTAAAGTCACGTGGGTAGAGAATAAAATAAATCACGACGTTTCGACCGCAACACAAGCGACCGTCATCAGGTGGGACAGATACAGCAGGAGGACTGCTGACATAGGAGCAAGACCTGCTGCAACAAGAGTTTATATCGGATTTTGGTGGGCTCAACCCAAGGGTAAGTGGGTGGAGCTAGAGAAGGAATTTGTACGTAAATGTGAGAGATTAACATGTCATTGTGAGAAGATCCCCAGCCACATTTACGTACAGATTCCTTCTCTAGCTCCGCCTACCCTTGGGTTGAGCCCACCAAAACCCGATATAAACTCTCGCTGCAGCAGCTCTTTCTCCTATGTCAGCAGTTCTCCTGCTGTGTCTGTTCCACCTGATGACGGTCGCTTGTGTTGCGATCTAAACGTCGTGATTTAATTTATTTTATTTTTTACCTTCGTGACTTTACCGAAAGAACCAAAGAGTATTTTCGTAATTTAGTATAGAGTTCTTCACCTGGCAGCCCACCGGCCACATCTGGTCACCAATGGCTTACCAAACTATTGCCTGCCGAGATATACATGTATGCAGATTAGTGAGATACGAGATAACCCAGAGAGAGAGAGATGAAAGAGCTGGAGATGAGAGAGTGTTCACGTACAGACGCTACGACGTCACGACACCACGTGACGTCTTGACGTCTGTGCACATGAAACTATGACGGGGACCTACATCACGTGGCCTGGCAGCACATGCTCATTTTGTTACGTGGGCCGTCGAAAAATATAGCTGAAGAACCCTGATGTCGAGAGTTATGCCCTGTGTGAGACTCCAACGTGCAGCACAGCAAATAGCCCCATGACTTGTATCGCAGAGTGTGAGGGCCCTTTCCTCATGTGTGAGGATTTTCCCCGGACACTCCGGTTTCCTCCGATACGCGGAAATGTTTGACAGAGGAACTGGGCAGACATCCCAAAGCAGGATGTTCCTGGTGAAAAAAGAGTATTGATGACTACTACCTTTTTTCAGCAGCACCCTATTGCACTCCCAACGCAGTCTTTTTTTCTTTATAAACATTTCTCTACACGTGTAGAATTTTCCTACAAATTTGTTTCGCGCCATGATTTTTGAGACGAGTACACGCAGCCACTGACACTGCTCTCCGATGTGTTTTGGGATCATGCCGCTGTGTTTGTTCGGCCCGATGACCTGACGTTTTCGCTCCACGTACCGGGCGCTTCTTCGGTTGAGAAAAACGACGGACAACGTGCCGAACAACAACAACAACGCGACCCAGAAATTCACCAGAGAGCTTTACGTCTACAACTGCCAAAAAAAATCTACGCAGTGATAGATGCTAGCATTGGTGTAAAAAAAGTAAATGTGGAAACGACGGTTTGATAAGGAATGGTGCCCACAGACTCGACAATGGAAATGTAATGTTTGTTGTGTTTCTGTTTTGGGGCAAACCTGAAATCGTGAGAATGTACCCGAGTTAAGAGTTTACACCTGCTCACACTTTGGCAGTGCTGCAGCCGAAACAGATGTTTTCTTAATGATGCCCGGCAGATATTGCCTTGTACATTACCTCAATGTTAGAAAGTTACAATCATCAAACCTCTTATCACTTCAGGGGCACGTGCTTTTATATATATAGATATGAAATAGGAGAAAATTAAACTACTGATTTTAAAAGATGATTGGAGATATTGTATTGTAACTTGAAGTCGCGAAATCACATTATAACTGAATAATAAATAACATGAGGGCTTTTTTCTATACAGACTGGCTCTGTAAAGTAACATTTCAATCATGCTTAGCACAATATAATGCAAGAAGACAAAAAATAAAAATCAATGTATTTAAAATTTGCACAAATTATTTTTTTGTGGGCTGACGTGAGAAAGCTTAATTTTTTTTTTATGAATGTCTGAAGTGATTAAATCAACCGATCTGTGCTTAAGAACTGCGAACTAATGCTTACACATGCATATTTCACGTTTTATTTTTTATTATTATTTTATCTCTGTTAAGCGTGGGGACTGCGCTAATGTTGAAGTTACACTTTATTGCCTTTGCTTAGTAGATGCTCATCTGTGCTCATAATTGTCAATCCACTGCTCGATGAAGGCCTCCCCCACACTGTGTTAGTCCTGCAGGTTGTTTCGTCATACCGAGGCACAACGGGCTTCTGTTGTGATTCACGGCAGAAGAAATACCGGAGGCAGAGTTCAGTGTCCTCGCAGCACAAACTCTACAGGGACGGCTCCACTTGGGGCTTAACTTTCTCACCGAATTATTTCTGGGTCGCCGGTGGACTGAAGCAGGTGGCACGTGACTTCGCAGCCACATCCATAGCAGGAGGTATACTGGATGTGGTATGCTGAGTGCATTTTTTTTCGGTCACCGATCCAGACCAACTCAGATGAAATTAAAACTCTGGCTTTTACCGAACGTACACACGAGTGCCACAGGATGGCCACAGTGTGGAAATTTGGTGTATTTACGTTTTATGTGGGCGCTTATTTAAGTTTTGTTCGTTTGGTAGGAGAAACTTTCGGGTTGACAGCCTGTCGTTAATGACTCGAGTTGTAATTTAAGTCGTAACAAGTGGAGTATATTCTGTAGGATATCATTTTTGGTGACTTGAATTTTGGAATTAATGCCACGTGAGGTAAAGCTCACTGAAAACAAAAATGCTTTACAGCCAACGCTATTCGGTATAACTCCTATTATCCGTGACCCTATTACCAGCGACTCCTACTATCTGCTATGAGCTTTAGGGTCTGCCAAAAACGTATATTTACCTGTTCTCATATTTTTCCGAAAAATCCGCGATTATCCATGATCTTTTTGCGGATAAGTGGAGTACAATTGCGGATAATAGGGATTTTCGATGTTTGTCCCCCACATCACCACGGATAAGAGGAGGTCTACTGTGTGTGCATGTACATGCTCTCTTTTACATGTGCGGACGTTTGATTTTTAATGAGCACTCACTTATTAAAAGTCTCCAGCTAGCTATTGTACGCCAAAATGCCGAATTTTTTTATACGGTTTGTTTCATATGTGAAATTCTTAAATTGTATTTTTTATGGCATTTAAAAATGAATGTGACTTTCATGACCAAACGGCCACAACCCATTCCAGTATTATTAAGCATGTGTTAATGTTATGTCATACACTGAATTTTGTTGTCCATTCCTTATTAATACCATTAACATTTTGCCAATTTGTACTGTATGTTTTCATATAATAAAAAAAAACATTATTTACGGACCCTTGTCGAACTAGTGCTTGATTAAGACTTCTGTATGGTATGTCGCACTTACTCTTGGTAGCAGTCAAAATGTTGCGTTTAACCTGCATACGTTACTTAAACAAGTGTTCCTCTGAATATAATCATGATGCATCGTGCCATGCAATTTGCACACTTTTAAAAACATTCTGAAAACGGGCCGGTTGCTCGCTCTGCTCGCAGTCAACTTGCCACCACCAGTGGCAGGAAGGGATGGCGCAGATTGATAAGTCCAGCTCGTTGAAGCCAGGAAGGGAAGCATTTTAAGGGTCTGCTTTGTTATCTGCAGAGTCAAGACGGTGGGAAAGGGCAGGAAGCAAGCTAAGCAAAATTAAGTGCTCTTCCTTCTGTCGTTTGAAACGGGAAGGCAGTTAGGTCGTCCCCTTGTCAAAGCATTTGAAGACGCCAAAGTGTGGCAAGCGTTCTGCGCCGACGATGGATTCTGGTTTCAGCAAGTCGGGCGAACAGTGAACTGCCATTTGCTAACGGCGTCGAGATCAATGCAAGGCAGGGCTTGCCAGTGACCGTGCAGAACCACGTCTCAATACGGCACAGTTTGGAAGCCCGTAGCGTATAAATGCGCACGCGTATTAGGACACTGCATAAGCAGTGGGGGTGGTATTTATTTCATTGAGAGAGGAAAAGAAGAATGTATTGTGCTTTGGGTTGGACAGTTACAGGGAGTCGACAGCACAAATGGATGGTAGGAGGGAGTTCCAGACAATAGGGGCAGCAGAGGTGAATGAGAACAAGCAACCACCCCTCAGACCACCCATACATGTATGGGAAGTTCTGCTTGTAAACATGCTGCAAGAAAGCAACTCTTCTCGAAGCTTATAATCTTATAATTGTTATTTCACAGCCCTTCATCAATCAACTGCTGGATGAATACCTCGCCATGCCATGTCGTTCATGGGGATTTGTTTGACCATACTTCACCAGACTGTGCAATGCGGTTTGGTTAGCGCACAGGGCTGGTTCAGATATCATTTTCCGCTGATGTTAGCCATGGCTGGGAAAACCCCGAGTCCAGATTGTCGGGTTCGTGGCGCGGTGTGCTAATCACTGTCATCACATCCCCCGTAATTGTCTTCTTTACACTACAAATATGATATATGGTAGAGCCAGATTGGGTTTGAGAGATGGGGTTTATAGTTCTGAAAATATATTTACCGTCATCCTCATCAGTAACGGCTGATGACCAGGATAGACACTTTTTACCTTGCGTGATCTTCAGAGCCTGCCATGGAGAGTCCCGTCCAGTCGTTGCGTGTCCTCCCTCTTCCACTATCTTCTCTTCCATTTTCACCTTCATCGTCACATCTCCAGCCATGACCCACTTTAGTATGTGTCCCGCATTCGCCACCTTTATTCTGAATATATATACACCGTATAGTATATTATATTCATGTAGGTAGGTGTGTGTGTGGCTATATTTGCTTAAATTTATTGACAGCGGCTACAATTTCGGGGTGCGTCACATAACCCAGAAAACAAAAAAAGTGTTTGATTTGAGAAACCAAAATCTAAACCCCGAGATTAATCAAGGAGTTCCATATGAAGATAACTGGCCGTTGTCAGATTTAGATTTCCCCTAAATCGGCTTGCTTTCCCGATCCAACAATTCAACGTGAATTCACAATCGTTGGCATAGCTAAGTGTCTTAATGCGAGCCCGTCCAACAAAGTAACCACTGTGCCGTAACTGGATGGCAATGCCAACGCCAGGCTTATCAGGATACTTAATGTGTTCGCAAAGTGCAGCTTGGAATTACTGTACGACTTAAGAACATTATTTGGTGATGCTGCATTGGCAGTGGTGAACAAGAATAATCTGATATATATATAGAACTGGCATAATTGTTTGTTATATATTTTAACAAGAGTGTATTCATAATAATTGCCTATTATACACGGCATGTATTTTCTTTACAGACGGTGTTATGGACACATATGTTGAGTGTTCATGGACGGTAAAATGGTTACAAGAGCTCTTAACTTGCAAAGTTATAGGCCTTTCCTGCCTTAAATTTAATGTGTCGCCTGTCTTTTTTTAAAAAGTCACTGCTATCATGTCTGGGCGATTAATAATGTAACAACTACGGCTGATTGTGCCAGCATTCTTACAGCCGACTCAGAGGTCATCTTTAATGTGTTGTTGCTCAGCCGCCAAAAGGAGTCGTAGTGCGCTCTCTTGTGGACAAGATCAGAAGTGTAAGTTCAGAAACATCTACATGAGCTGCATGATTTATTTTTCAATCTACGTGTCTTTACCGAAAGAACCAAAGAGTATGAATTACTGCAGTCACGAAAGCTTCAAATCAAGATTGAACCGCGTCTACAGGGAGGATTCCGACACAACTCAGACATGACTTTAACCGAGAAGATGGATGAAAAATTGAGCAATCTTTGGAAGGACGTTGACCAACCACATAGAGTGTTAACTGTTGTGTTGGCCGACTCTCTGAGTTGCATTACATTTCTAAGTTTGCTAAATTTTACGTATTTTTTTTCTCTGTTTTCTCTCTATCACCTTTTTTCCCTCTGTAAATTTCACCCCCACCCTATCGCCCGTTGCGGCAGCCCCTCCCTCCCCCCTCCTCGGATGAGCCGAGGTCACCCACCCACCACCCTCTCTTAGATTACATTGACTTGCAAATTCCATCCCTAGCCCCGCCCACTTACCCTTGGGTTGTACCCACCACAAACGTCTAAAACGTTTGGTTGCAGTGGCTCTCTCGCTACATTTACTCCTCAGCGGTCCGCCTGCTGTATTGTTTCACCCTGAAGACGATGGCTTGTGCAGCTATCGAAACGTCGTGATTTATTATTATTTTTTGTTTCTATCTACGTGACTTTACCGAAAGAACCAAAGAGTATGAGCTTAATTAACAAACTATGGCACACCTGAGCACTTTTAGTATTAAACTCATTATCATCGTCTGCCATGATCTATGCACTGGCCGATGAAGGCCTCATCAATACACGCCTATTACGCAATATACACACATGTACTGTAGGCTGAACTTCTTTCGCACTGTACGTGGCGGGGGGAAGGACAACAAAATAATCACACAAAAAATATCTGTTCTAAAGAAACGAGTTTTCAGTCTAGATTTAAAATAATTTTTACACGGAGGTGTAAATGCATTTTATATACAGTACACTCTAATACATTCAAATAAGTGTGGGAATTCAAACAAGGTTCCCCTATGTATGAACTAGCCCTCGTCAGAGGAATATGTATAATGTTAAACACAGGGTCAGGGCTGCTCGTGTAAATGACGTCTAGCTGATTGCTAATTTCAAATCCATAAAAGCCATCAGTGTGACTGTGAGAAAGCAATTGGGCTGATTGACCGACATCACATTGGCGGTCGTAGGAGATGGAACGATGAAATCAACTCGTGTGCAGGTGCTTGGTGGATGTTGGGTGGATTTGTGACTTTGCACGACCGTGATAAAATGCATCGGATTTTTTTTTATCAGTGACGAATGCCTCACAAATAACTGACTGACTGTGATGATCTGTGTTTGAATTTCTGAGTTAAATGTATCTCAAAGGGCCAGCCACGCTTTTCCCTGCCAAACACAGACTCTCCCATTTGCCTCTAAGTGTAAATCAGGAGGTGATCCATCACTTTGTGGATTATGCTAGTACAGTACTATTCTGTAATCGATCAGAATCATTATTTATATTTGAGGAATCCGATTACCTATAAAGCTGTTTTCACAGATTACACTGACCTCACTAAAACAGGTCCACTCAGAATGCAATGTACCAGAAAACATTGAGTAACTTTTATTTTCATACGAATTCGTTTTATTGAGAAACACTTTTAGTTGATTGACATGTTGGTCACTCAATAGCCTCTAATTTAATAAAAGTTTAATCAGGAAATGTGGTTTAAATGTAATTCTTATAAGGCCCCATGGTTTAAAGTTTCCTATATCTTATTATAACTCTCAGGCCTTTATATATGCGAAACAGGGATATTGCCCGAAACGTCTAAAGCCTTCTCTCACCAGTGTGAGACCAGAGAACGATAAAAGACCAACAGTACAAAGATTTATAGCCCATGGGATTCATCTTCCAGTATAAATAAATCTGATTTTCAAGAATAGGTTTTATCCTCTCTGGAATTAAACTAGTGTTTGCATGTTCACCACAAATACGTGTGGTTAATGCAGACTTGATTCCTTGAAAAGGGTATCTATTTTGGTGTTTGAACATCTTAACACCCGTTTTATTGCCAGAACGGGAACGCAAACAAAACTCTTATTTTTGCGTACTCTGACACTGCCAAAAAGTGTCCCATGGATAAATCGGAATCTGATTATTCTGAAACGTTGAGCGAGCACGTGGCCTCGCCCCCCACCAAAAAGACAAAGATCCCCCGTGTAGCCTGTAACAGACTGTTGGGGCAAGTGCTGTTAGCGAATAGCACCTACGAAGGCCGACACTGATACACGAGGGGGGTGGGTGGCCATCACCGCGCCCGGCCGCCTTTGTCTACCCGGGTACTCATTTGATGCCGAGTCGACCTAGGGGAGGCCCAGGGCCTCGGTTCAGATAATCATCACCGGTCTTGGTGGCCGGGACGCCGCCGGGGTTTCTTTGGCGCAGCGTAGCGCGCTAACCGCAGCACCACCACTCCCCAGCCCCCCCACCACCACTCCACCCCCCACCCACCCAGCGGTGACGTCATCACAGGCGCGGTGCGGCATGGGAAGCCCAAAGGCGGCAACTTGAATCGCGTTCACTCGGCGTTAAACGCGCACGCACACAGAACGAATAACCTCTTTCGCCTCTCTCCACTTCATTTCGTCGAACAAACACAGTTCGCAGTCGACGCGCAAGTGCCGTGCGTGCGTGCTGTGGTGACGCTGCGCCCTGTCGCAAATCAACGAGCGCGGTCGTGTTAAAGAGTTGCCTGGCGTGTTGCGGGGGGCTAGGCGAGGTGCAGGCCTCGCGTGTGATTTTGTCGAACAAACACGTTCGCAGTGTGTGTGCTGGAATTACTGAAAGGGTAACAACTATACCGCTGCTGCTGCTGGAACGTTGCGGTCCGTTTTAAATTGGTAAGCGAGGTGGTTTTAAGAGTGGACTGCGGTGTTGCGAGGTGCAGGCCTCGCTGAGCTCCGATGTCTTTGGGGGGTGGTGGTGTGGGTGTTATCGCTACTCTCTCTTCATCTCTCTCTCTTTATTAACAATTCACTCTGTTATTTTTGCCAGATAAGGCTCACTTTTAAGTTACGTAGCTTTGTATTTGTTTTAAAAGAGCGACCTGACCGACGGCTCAACGAAGTGGCTTGCCCGTCGCGTGGACATGTACAGCGGCAGACGAAACACTGCCACCACCACCACCCCCCCTTTGCTCTCGCACGGGCAACTTCCAACCAAATACATCGCTGTTCAAACTTTATTTGGCGCTTTCGCGACTGCAGGAATTACCCTTTGGTTCTCACGGTAAAGTTACGTGGATTTACTGAAAGAACCAAAGGGTACATCGCTGTTCTTTTCTATTATTATTACACGTTTTTTTATTAACTCCCCTCTCGTCTGTTGTCGTTGTATCCTCAAATCTTGTAACTCAATTTTAACCCACTTCCCAATGTGGTATCGACTGCAAACTTGGTATACTTATGTCATACTGATGACAATACTATATTCTATCATTAAAAAATAAATATTTTAACGTTTTTTTATATCTTATGTTTCGGCTTGGGTCTAATTGTCCCTTACGTTATGGTAAGCTTCGGGTCCAATTCCTGGAGTAGTGGAGTTCTGCCGTTACCAGTACTTTTCAAAAGCGTGTTTAAAAAATATATATTTCTTATTATATATAAAGTATATATTTTTACTTTGCACATTCTCCCCTCGCATCATACGTTGCAACATCCTGACATTCTGGACGGCATTACCTGTTGCGTTAACGGTGTGAGGCACCCCGGACTCACGCATTGGGCGGAGGTGCGGCTTGCTAGGCCGTTTCTAGTCTGGGTTCGGCTATTTAAGACTGTTCTAAGGTTTAAGAATGGACCCCATGTATTCTTGTTCCTTGTCTCTGAGCTTAATAGCTCCAGTGAGCTTGGAGTTCGGATGCTCCAGTGCTGAGATTGGGCCCTAATGAATACAGCCATTGAGTATTGTGGGAGAGGTGGGGTTCGTTATTCTTCCACGTTCTCAATATGGCTCGTCTGGCTTGCTGTATTACAAGTCACAAGCAAAATTTTCCCTTCTCGGAGACATCGCTGTCCTTAAAGTAAACCCTTCTGAAAAGTCTTATCGGCGTAAAGTTATGCCAAACATCTCAATGTAGGGTCACAGAGCTTGGGCAATGATTGGTGCCGGCTAGTGGCTTCTGTCTCCACGGTATTTGGTTTCTGGCACAAACTGACTTAAATATTCTACAGCATTTAAAAAAAAAAACATGTAATTCGACGTGAATTAATAATTCTATGGCGATAAAATATGAAACAATATATTTAGTTACATAGCCTACTCGTCCAGTCTCATCTCCCAGGCTCTGACAGTATTGCTGTCCCGACGAAAACGCATCTTTTTTGAAACTGCTTTTTCTCATTAGCTTCGTTCCTCTGGCTCTGATTAAGCCACCCTTATTTATATATAGTAGAGTATTGTCCTTATGAGTGGCGCCTTGAGACATTGTGAATGGCGCCTAATAGGTGCAAATCATAATATAGAATTACTGTTACTTAAGGATGTATCCTTGTCACGAGGGGCTTTTAGACAGAACGATTCTTTGTTAGTTTAAACGTCTTCTATGAGTGTTTTATTTGAGTCAACTTGTGTTACTGGAAATGTATCTTATTTTTTATTGATTGTACACTGCTGATGTCCTCTTAGCGAACGCGTTTTTTGTTGTTGCTCTGAGTATGTTTTACCTGATTATCATTTTAAATGTTTCGAGTGGGGGAAAAAACTCGCGCCCAAAGAAAATTTACGTATTTTGACACAAACATCCATGCAAGTTGGTCATGAACCAACTTTTGCTATCTGTTGATTGCCCCATGGCAACTGCAGATATTTGGAGTTTCGCATCACGTGATCGTCTCCACGTGGTTCACCAACTTGGATTAACACGGATTCAACCCAACCCACAACGGGCTATACAAGTACACTGTTGTAATACCAGAGCCCCCCCCCCCCCCCCTTGGCTGTGTAACAACAGGGTTGGACCACATTTTGAATAACGAGTGTGGGAACTGAACTCTGCCGACAACAATGGACAGCCTTGATGAAGAAACGGTTGGAGACATTTCAAAGGAAACAAATGGAGTGAAGCATGGCGTTTCTGCACTGCAGAATCTACAAAATCGACAAAAGAAACTCCTGGATGAGGTACGTGGTCTGTAACAACTATTACTGCTGGACCAAAGATCCAGTGTGCAGGTAGTGATGCATCTCCAAGAGTGTACATATGTTTCAGTGAGTGGGGAGTTGTATTATAGTGGTTATCGCACTGCGCTACAGACTATGGGACCCAAGTTCGATTTCTACTCGTGGCGATTACCAGGGACATTATCTGAACCCTTCCCAGACCTTTCCTAAGTCCACTCAGATTAAAATTATTACCTGGAGCGGCGTGTAAAAATTGGCAGTGGTCATATAATGGTGATCAGGCGTGTTTCTAGCTGTACCACCACCTCCTTGTGCACCACACCTGCCTTAATGTGCTCTCAAACAGCACTTTCCACAACAGTGTATGGCTATACAGGGAATCTATACAGCACTCGCCTCCAATTAGCACGGTTGCTTACGTACGGTGCGAAAGAAGTTCAACGTACTTACTCTACACTGTCGTGTGGTTACAGGTGCAGATGCTGGCCAAGCGCTCCCAAGTATTCCAGGAGTTCCTGGCACCAGATGTACCAAATGAGACAACATATAACAAGGACGTTAGTGAGAAGATTATTATGGATTGTGACTCCGTCTGGAGGGAGGTGAATGAAGTGAGTATTTCAACGCACGCAGAGGCATCCACAGTGCTTTGAAATCCATCCTCTTAACAGATATCTTGACAGCTTTTATTTGTATAGTGTGGTCTTGAAATGACAGCAAATCAAGGCAACGCTTGTTAGCCGTCTTCATGCTGTGCATAAATGTCATGCCAAGCAGTTGCAGGGTAATACTGCTCCACCAACACCTCCAGGACAATCACGTGTTTAAGCTACATTTAACCTTTTATACTCTTTATGCTTTCATATAATATGCTTTGTTAAGCACTCAAACATGAAATAAATGGGATGCATTTGGTCTTCATGGGAATAACGGGGTTTTGCAAATACAATTGATGCAAGGAACCCTCCATTTTAAACGATCCTAGTATTTTGAGGACACTGTCAATGAGTTTGCAATTTGATTCGCATGGTTGCCCGTTTTGATCACAAACCTGAATAATACAACTCATAATGGCTTATTTTTTGTCATTGAGAAGAAAGAAAGGCCTCTGTTGTGGAGTATTGCTTTCTTCTGGAAAGATCTCTGATTCCGCTAACTGTGTGCCTTTTGATTTTTCCTTATTTATGCGTGATAGTAACAAACCCTTTTTTATTTTTAATTACCCTGCAATTCATTAGATGGGTTCACTGAAGAAGCTTTTGTATATTAAATGAACACAATATATATTTTTTTACAAACAAGTACCGATATACATAGATCTTTAACGTAAAATAATATTCAATATAGTGATTTTAATTGTGAAAATTGTACTTGTCTCTTGTAGATGCAAGCAAGAATTTGTATGCAAGAAGCCACTCCTGTGTCTCCTGAGAATCCGGTAAGGTTTGAAATCATTACATTTCATTGCCGCATCTGAGATAAAACCTGAAAGTTATAACAGTGCAGCTACAATTGATAATTACGGTCATCCCTACTGATTTAAAATATAATACATGCTTTTATAAAATATTTTACCCATTGATGTTGAGAATCTGTGCATAATGGCAGTACCACTGCAGTTCCAGGTTGTGTCAAACAGCTGTGCCTAGTTCATGGAATTTAATTTCCCTCTTAGCACAGGAAAATGAAGGTTACATTCATAGTCATAAATTATACTATATGTACGTGTGTGTTTCTATCAGATTTTGGATATACTTTTGGCAAAGAAATGGTTGCTGAATGCTGAAGTTGAAATTTCAACGGAAACAAAACAGCTGAGTAAGACATGTTTTTTGTAATAGTCGAAAAGTGACCTTGCCACAAGACATTTAAATACTTGAAATATTGTTTTTGTATTTTGAACAAATATTTTCCCTGTATTCTAGTGCCTCTTAAGTATCCTGAATGCGCACTTGTGGTGGCAGAAGAGAAGGTACGATATAAATTTATGTATTTTTAATTCTTGGTTCCTGAGATGTTCCTTAATTCTCGCAAGTGGATGAAATTGCAAGTGGTGATTTTTTTTTTGTATTTTACACCAACAGCTTAAACAAGTTATCGGTCAACTGGAGGAAACATTGTCATTTTATAGGACCACAACAAAAGCCCTTGAGTCCGAACTTGAAAGGTAAAAGACCTGAAAGCGTATTTTCCTGTTTGCTCGTGGTGGGTTTTTTATCCGGATGAATCTGTGTGAAGTATATCGATCGTGTCTCACAATGAGTGTTGTTGCAGAGAGAGGGCATATCTGGAAGATCAAAAGAAAATTCAACATGCACTTAAAGAAAAACTGGCTCAGCTGGCTACGGATACCACCAACACGTCATCAAGCCAAGAGTATGCTGAAACACGTGTTTAATCGCCGACATATATGTAAAGTCGCCACACTAATAATTTTAAAGATCATTCTTAGCATTCTCACTTGGTTTCAGACTGTTTATAACCATCATTTCAGTTTTTTGTAAAGTTATCATTTAATTATATATGTTTCGTTAGTGTATCAATAGTAAAGTTAGAATACTTTGAAAAGATATTACTTTTTAAGGATGGCTCAACAATGCACGTGGATATGTGGTGGTTACCCCTTGACAGTAATAAACAGAGGTTATCTACGGCAGAAATTGCATAATGTTTTACTACATTAACAACATTATTCACTCTTTCATAAAACAAATACGGTTTTGAAAAATGTATGCCTTCAGTTCCAGGTCAATGTTCATAAAACCCCTGCATGTAGGGGAGGCTTAATATGTTAGCAATGAGTGGCTTCATCTTTTGCCAGCAGTAAGTAATGGCAGTGCTGCCCCCTGCCTTTCAGCCTCCCCAAAGAAATGCAGGAGCGACTGCGCAAGGCTATGCTGCATTACAAAAAGCTGAATAAGGCTCTCTTTGAGTTTTCAAATGAATTTTTCCCGCTGCCAACGGAAAATGATGTTCACGGCAAGAGGAAGAAGGTAAGTTCAGCTTTTCTCGGCTACCCGGATGGTGATAGTAATACAAGATTGTGAAATGAACGTATTGGCGGTCCACCGGTGCGCGGTATTAAAAAAAATAGCAATTAAAAAATAGCAATTTTTTTTGGCAATAATTATTTATTCTCCTACAATTCGCAACCCCGGTCAAAAAAATCTTGCAGTGCGCATCAAAATCAGTTCTCGTTATGTCGAAGCAGTCGGAAGACGAATGCCAGTTAAAACTTATATTTTAGACTGTTTTTAGGAGGACCGGTGTGTTATGCTGCAATGGTGTACCTCCAGTTCGTCCAAATGAAAAATGCATCGTCATCACGTTGCCCCAGTGTAATGGTTGGCACACTGCACTGAAACGATGGTCAAGTTTCCCTTCCCACGCACGGTTCACCCAGCAGTATAAATGGGTACACCACAGTTAAACCGGCAGGTCACATGTGATTGTGCGGTAAGATGCGTTCAATGTTACTACGTTCAATTATTTTAATGGTTTTGAGATACATTAAATATATAACTAGCTTTACTACCCATCTCCGCCCGAGACTTGGATTCTTGTCTTGGATTAATACACGACCTACGTGGAGGGTGGGGGGGATGCGTGACGTCAGCAGGCACACTGCATGACGCTGCCGCATGCGGGTGACATCACAGATGTGACGTCACCGCTCGCTTGCCGTGCAAAATATATCCATTATTGCGCCCTCTCCCTGCCTCCCAAAATACAAAAGTCTATTTTGTTTATGCTTTTTTGCATTGTGTACAGCCCGAAAGCTACCCACATGCCAAATTTAAAGTTTGTTGCATGTCGGGAAGTATGCTAAACTTTTCGAATCGACACACATTCACAAATTTCCCTTTTTTTTCTATAGATTACATCTAAACGATTGTGAATGGCTTAATGCGAAGCTTTTTCATAGTTGTGTTAGGGTGTTGGTTGTTGGTGAATGCTATTAACACATAATTAGCACGTTTAAACAAACTTCCAATGTGTTAACAGGATATAATCAAACACAGCATGTTGAGTGTCAATATTATATACTTGTGTAAGGACAGTACGTGGTGATGTAGCAACAGTCCTGCTCCCCGTGGCCATGGTTACTAATAACCGGAACAGGAACAGACAGGGTCACGTTAGGGTAATGTGGGACCTAAGTAATGATTGATGCGACAAGCTTTGACAGGGTCGCGTGAGGGGAACCAGGGGACCTAACGGTCATAAATTGTAATAGGGGTAGAGACAAGACAGGGCCAGGTGCGGTGAGAGAGGGTTTGGGAATAGGGGCGTGGCCGGGTTGAGGGGGGATAAGAGCCGGCGTGAACCGGGGCTCTGGGCTGCTGTAGTGGGGGAACTGCCGTTGCCGTCGTCACCTTGGAGCGGGTCGTCTTCATCATCCTGGAGTGGGCACCTTGTGGTCTTGGAAGACTAGAGTTATGTTGTCTCAGAATAGAGTTATCTAAGTTACCCAAGTGTGTATAGTCACTCACGGTTACTCGTTAGGTTATTAGTGAGTCGGCGGACTTTATCCATAATAATTATACATATAACTGAACAAGACGGTGTCTCTGAGAGCTACATTACACTTGGATACACATGAACAGTGTTATAACATATATAAATGGAACATATATAAATGTAATTACTTTTTATTTGTGTGTTTTTCCATGACAGAAATCTACAAATGTGAACAGCACAAAAAACATAGACTACATTGCTATCCACGAAATACTGGAGGCAAGTGAATTCGTTACTGCAATCACTTCCTACCAACTCCGTAAAGGAATTTTGGAAGTGTTCTGCAGATGTTGTAACTCAAGATGAATATGTTTTACATGTGGTGTTGCGTTTCGTGTGCACATGTGTAACAGCAACATTCTAAGGTTTATTTATTGTCAAGACAAGTGCCACAACTGAACATCTGAATATTTTAGGGATCTGTAGCTGGTTGCATAATATACCTTGGGTAATTTCCACCCCCCCCCCATACACTGCGTCAGATGACATTTAACCAGCCAAGTGGCTCAGCAGTAGAGTGAGTGGTTCACCTTAAGAAGGTTACAAATTCAAATCTTTGTTGGGAGTTGACCAAGCCGATCATCCCTCCCAGGGTCAATAAATGGGGGGGTCCAACTTTGCGGGGAAGTCAAGCGGTTGCCAAATCGATAAGACTGGTGCCCGCCTTGTAGGAATGTGAAGTTTCCACCACTGTCTGGGCTGTTAACAAGAGATGATCACAGCCTCATTGCTCATTTAGAGCAGGAAATCACTTCCACCAAAATGACTACGCTTTCTCCGTTCCACTGCTGGATGGAATGAGTAATGAGGGTTGTTTTTACCATACTTCACCATGCTGGTCGGTGCAGATTGGTGTGTCCAGTACCGGTTTGGATATCACTTGCCACTGATGTTAGCCATGGCCAGGACTCAAATTCAGGTTGGCAGCTTCTTAGTGTAGCGCACTAACCACTGTTAAACAATTTATATCCCTGACGCGGCATTCTAGGCAAAATTTGAACTAACCCTGATATTGGACTGGAAGACAATGTGGTGTATAAACCATGAGCCCCACTCACCGACTTTTTTCACCTTCTCTTGCCACAGTTGCTGATCAACCAGATGACAAGTTCTCCGCACGACCCATACATCACTGTGCAAGACAACTTCTGGCCTCCGTTTGTCGAGAAACTTCTCCGCTTCGACATGGCGGTCACGCATCCGGAGGATCACAACAAGATCCGCATTCAGTTCTACCACGAGTAGCATGGAGCAACACTGATGAGGGCATTAAGACTGCATGCATTTAAGTTTCCATGCAACTGATTGCTCAGGTCTGGATGTTTCTGCAACCAGTTGCGAGTAGTTGCACCAATCAGTTGCTTGCAGTAGAGACGGTCTACTTTCAAGTGAATCTACTCAGAGATTTGTAGTGACGTACTTCATCACTTATATATGTGCCAACAAATAATGAGTTGTTACAATCCTAATTATGCTGTGTATAAAGGGTTGGTAAATTCACAATAATATGACCAATGGTAACTTATTTTATTTTACCAGGTAAGGCCCACTGAGCTGTATAGCTCTTTCAGAAGTGACCTGGCCACAAAGAATAGCTCATTTGTGGCTAGGCCACATGTTGATTTTAAATGTGGAGAAAAAAAAACGGAGAACCCAGAGACAAATCAACAACCACAGGGAGAACATGCAAACTCCAAATATACAGGTGTCAGAGCTGAGATCGAACCCGTGACCTGTATACCAGGCAAGGTAGCTAATAATATCTCGCCACTGCGATGCCCATAAGATAATATTTTGCAATTGGGATTCTTACACATTTCCATACAGTCGTTAATTCATGAAACCCTTGATTAAAAAGAACTGACCGCACCAAAATATCATTGCTGTGATTAGCAGAATATAGAACTCCACACTTCGAAATGTGGAAAGTTAGTTGACCAACTAATGGCTCAGTTGTGGACAAAGCAGTTGTAGGCGATCTAGTTGCGCGATTGCGAGAGGGATTTGCTCCTTTGACTGATCACTCGGTATCAGCATCAGAATATTTATTTATACTGGAGGAATCCGATTAACTATAAAGCTATTTTTCACAGATGGTCCGCGATATTAGTGCACAGTATTGGAAAGGTAAGCAAAATGTAAACTAAACTTTTTTTTTATCTTTCCAGGTAAAGCCCATTGAGCTATAGCTCTTTTTCATAAGTGACCTTGCCACAAATGATAGCTCAACTAATTGGGTTATCATGTGTGCACCTGCCTTTGGGATTGACCCTCATGGTTGGGGCATATCCAGTTGGCATGCTCTGTGCAAGCATTTAGTTTTACATAGACGGTACCTTAGTCACTCCACTGCTGGATGTGGACCTCGTCATGCCTCATCGGTCGTGGGCCTTATACTACTTTTACCATGCTGGTCACTGGGTTTGTTGAAGGCAGGGGAGCATAGTACAGGACAGTAGTGGCTTTTTCGCCACAGCTTACAACGCCTGTCTTATACATGGTGGTCACCTATACAAGACATATCCAGGCTCAACACTGCTTAGCGTCTGAGATTAATTCAGAAATTTAATTGGATACATTTCCATTAAGTACATCACATTGGAGTGCGTCCAATCTTGAAGCAATAAATTATTTGTATACATTTTAATTACTCCCGTAACCACAGTGGCCCTTTTGTGTTGGTGCTTGCCTGGGGTGTTTCTTATGGAATAATTAATTTCCACTTTGATATATATATTTTTTCTTCAGATACCGATCGTGTCACCCAAAATTCACCCAGTCTCGTTGAACCTTTGAAGTTATGCAGTGTTGAGCCTGTATAGTGTTTAGGTGGGGTAACTGTCATGCATAAAATGGATGTTGTAGGCTACTTCGCGGCTATATTATGGATTGCAGAGGGCAGTGCGTTAACATGTATTGTGCTGCACATCAATGCCCCATGTCTATGCTGTCCATCTTCAACTTGCATTGACTGGCGTGGTGAATTATGGTCAACCCCCACGATGTTGTGAGGAGGGCCTCATTCAGCAGTGGATTGGCAAATTGCTGTACTAGCACATTAACCTCTACAATTCCACAAAGCCTCCTAATGTGTGCAGGCGCATTGGGTTAGGTGTTGCAATACGCCAATTAGGCAGCTGAGAAAGCTCTTTTAAAGTATCCCATAAAACCTGTGCCCAAGCATTCACAGATGCTACCATTCTCCATTCTCTTGCCCCTTTGGCACTGTGGGTGTAATTAAGAGATGAAAACACCCTAACATTGCCATGTTTGGCATTGATCAGCGTAGCCTTGCAAGAGGCCAGCTGCAATGCAGTGCTATCAGGATCAGCATAGCATTACGGTATTGGTGGGTCAAGCACCTGTTTGTTAATTCCTCACATACCTTAGAGTAATTGGACAATCACAACCGTTGTTCGTACAGTGAATGGAGTGGAGGACTAAATGTTGCCCTGAGAAAGAGAAGTCGGGATGGGATATAGTATACGATAATTTCTGCTCTAGGGAACTTAAAACGTGCAAAGCAGATTCGGTTGAACACTGCTTTCTCAGTGCCAATATTACAGTTTGTTTTCAATAATTGAAACTGAGAAAAATTGTTGTGCGATTCACTTAATTTTCTTTTGGATTATCCTAGGCAGATACAATGTTGCCAAAAGCTATTGGGTTTTGGCAGCAGAACTTATGCAATTTCGCCTGTTACATTATGTTTTTGGTCAATTATAGCCAGTTGCCTACGACCACCCTGAATGCACCCAGTCTTGTCAAATCTTAGAAGCTTGGCATTGATTGAGCCTCCATAGTGCGTGGACGTGTGACCACCATGAACGAAACATGCCGGCTGCATGTTGTCAGCACAGGGTAGCAGTGCAGACAAATCAATTGTACTGAAGTCCAAAATATCTATGCTCTTCACCTTCACAAATATGCACTGTGACCAACGTGGTGAAATATCCCCCCACCACCACGACCTGCAGTGGCTAGACCCTCATCCATCCCGTGCATTGGCAAAAAAAGGCTGCTCGTTTATTACCGATCGGGTGCATAATATTGCAAACTCTCGTGTGTGTGCACATTAGTTGTATGTATTGTTTCAAAAGCCTCTGTTGTATTATAGTAATTATACGAATGTACAGCACTGATGTATGCAGAAGTCTCAGATTTTTTTTTACAGAGTTCAATACAGTGTAATGACAAATAATGCTTGCGTTGCGAAACGTTAAATACAATTCAAAAGTGGTTCACAGCCAAAATTGTAACGTAAACTAACAAATGTGCCTTTACATGCGATGATACGTCATTTTATATAGTATAACATAAGTAGACGTCTGTACAACGTTTCCGAAGCTTATGCAGACAAAATAATATACAGCTTTTCATTATTAGCCATAGAGTGTAATTATTAAACAGTTGTGGAAGTGTGATCGTGGTTATGCCAACCGGTTTTTGCACCTTCTCGTCTGAATATTCCTGGCCACAAGACTTCCAACACAATAAATTAATTATGAACATTCTCTTAAGCAAGCTACTGTCCACATCCAACACGGATAATTCGTGTCAAGGCAGCCCTAAATCGCGCTACACAGGTGTGCACAAATTTTGATTTAAAGCTTTCGTGACTGCAGGGATTCATATTCTTGGTTCTTTCGGTAAAGTCACGTAGAAGGGAAACAATAAAATAATAAAAATATAAAACAATAAAATTCTCACGACGTTTCGACTGCAACACAAGCAATCATCATCAGGTGTGAAAACCACGGCAATAAATTTTGAAAAAAGTGGCGTTTTTTTTAACGTTAGCACCACGGAGAGCGATTTGGCAGTTATTCAAATGGACGAGTCCATCTATGTACGGAAAAGAGGAGGTGGTAGACGAAAATAATGGATGCGGTCTGAAAGCCACGGTAAGCGTGAACAATCAATTAAGACCCTAAATGGTTTATCATATCCTTCCAATGATTGCTAAGCCAGAATCCATCTTCGCGGTTGAAATTGTGTTTGTATATGTGGATAACCTCATGAACGAATCTCATGATAGCCAGATGGCTTGCAGAGAACCTCTGTCTTGGAGAAGTCAATGTCATGTGAGCCTACTGAATTATAACAGTGATGTGCCACGGCCGAGGTGTTGGTCCTGCCGTGTTTTAGGGCTGCTTTGTGTTCACGGATGCGGTCCGAGACATGTCGTTTGGTTTCTCCAATGTAACTGCTACCACAGAGGCAACTTAGTTTGTAGATGCCAGAGTACTGTATGTCCGGAATCACATCTTTTACAGACGGAAGCAGATCACGGATTTTATGTAATGTGTTGAATCGGACCTGGATCTTGTGTTTATTCAAGTTTTTGGAGATCTTTTTGTGATCCCCGCAATGTAGGGTAAAGTGATGGTTTTGAATGGCTCTTCAAAAGGGTCCTTCTTCATGGTTGGAGTGATAGGTGTGCACAAACAAAGCAATCCAGCTCGTCAACAAGCAACGTCCCCCTGGGGCTTGTAATGAATGCCGCTGCCAACAGAGGCAAGTGCGGACCCATGTTTGGATCGGGTGCTCGTTGCGATAACACTAGATGTCTTGTGAGGAGGGCATTGCTTGGGGTGGGCAGTGCTTCTATAATACCTCAAAGCCTGTCTTGGCCACAAGAGTTCCGTGTTTTTTTAGTATAAGCAGCCATTGAGCACTTGAAAGAAAGCGCAGTTCCAGAAAGGTCCACAGCACTTGGTTTCGTTACAATTCCAATCGTACTTGTAGAGTTAATTGCAGTCACTCGTTACTCAACTAATTTTCCATTACAAGTGGTAATATATTTTTAAGTATGGATAAATTCGTCTTGGATTGTCATACATACATTTGTTCCAACATTACAGACCGGTGAATATGCATTGAGGTGAGGTTAATTATTTGATGGTCGTTTATATATTGTTTAAGGATCCTATCAAATCGCGCTCAGTGGCCCAATCTAATTGGATTTGAGAACCTCGAGGAGTCTAGTTCCTGCTTGCGTGGCCATCAATGCAGGAGATGGCACTAGTGGTTAGTGCGTTTCGCAGATTTCCACTCACTGGTCCGATTCTGCATTGAATATAACCTGCAGAGATTTGAGTGTTATCCCCTGACGTGTGAGTTTTCTCTGGTTTCTAAAGGCCCGAAATTGGCATTCGCAAAACACCCGAATGTACTAACCATCCTGAAAAAACTAATACCAAGGCTCGAGGTTTGCTGGAAAATGTGATGAATTTATAGTGGGAACCCAGCAACTGACTTTCTATCTGGTGTTTGAATTGGTTTTGTTTGAAAGTGATCCTCTGCTACATGAAGCCTGCCTGCGTGTTTGTCATCTCACGGTCTTGCAAAGTACCAATCCATGTAACTGGTGTTTGAATTGGTTTTGTTTGAAAGTGATCCTCTGCTACATGAAGCCTGCCTGCGTGTTTGTCATCTCACGGTCTTGCAAAGTACCAATCCATGTAACTGGTGTTTGAATTGGTTTTGTTTGAAAGTGATCCTCTGCTACATGAAGCCTG